GAAATCAGCGACTGTGTGAACGTGAACATTAATAGAATATCACCTCCCATCTTCAGAGCAATCTGACTATTAGAACATTAGCGTTAAGAAAGCTTACTTAAATATCTGCCACAACATAAGTAACCGGATCAGAGTAACATTAAGTACAGTCCGCGGCATATCACATCATAATGTATCATATATCTCCTTATCTGAGTCAGCTGAGCCGTATCTGGCCGTGCAACACTCACAGTGTCACATACTGGATGCAGAAGGATTATTTGAAGCAACACATTAAGTTGAGGAAACACTCGAGTCAAATGTAATGAAAGTCAGATGGTGTCTTAGACGGGGCAGTGATATCATAAACCTGTTAATGTACGCATTCAAACACTTGTTCTGTTACCAGCTGTATTCACCTTGCAGGTGCAGCTATGTGGCTTTGATCCTGGATCAAGTGTTTAAGTCATGGATGTTTAAAGTTTAACTTCTTCATATGTCTAATATTAAAGTTGACTTTTCATTCAGGAAGTATGACGCTGCGCTGTCAGTACGCTTCTCCATGTTTGTGATTGGTCGAATGCTCCAGATACCACCCCTTTCATGTGAACGCACCTAACTAGATAGGACACGGCTGGCTTGAGCGATCCACTTGATAACCAGCTTCGTAGTACAGGCCTCAGGTAGTGTTGCAGAACAGACAAAATCACAGATGTAAAGAACAACAGGAGAGTTTCTCTGCTCGCCCCAAAAGACCTCAGGCTGCAGAGAAATACATTCTGTGTTGTCCTTTTGCAGAGACATGCCTCATCAGATATCATGAATACACTGATCATGGAGGACAGCACACAGCAGGGAATAACGTCTGACCTTGTGATGGTGCTCTCTGATGGAGGAGAGGAGGAGGAGCACCTGGGGAGAGGAGGAGTCCAGGTAGAACTCCACCAGAGAGGAGAGGACAGCGCCTCCTCTGTCTGAGGAGAGAACACTTTCATTATTTAAAGAGATCATTTTTAGTGTCTCTCCTGGGACATGTCTCCATGCTCTAATGTTCAGAAAGCTCTTCATTGTTCCCACACTGCCTGTGCTGCAGCACCTCTTATCACCCTCTGTCTGAAACCAGAGCCCAGTCACTATCACTATCTGAGCCATGAAATCCCTTCATTCTCCCATCCACTCAGAGCGTGAGACTGACAGGTGACTCACCTGAGCTCAGCTGCTGGTTCACAGCTGCTCTCACTAGCTCAGCCTCCTGCAGCTCTGAGCTGTCCAATGAGAGGAGGAGCTCCCCGATACTCAGCTGCGGATTGGACATCTTGACACACACACACACACACAGAATATTAAAAGAAATGTATATAAACACAAATCATAACATTAAATATATATAAACATTTATGTATTTTTATATTTAATTCTTTAAATATTCTTGTATTTATTATCGTTAAATGTAAATTCCCTTGTGTTTTCTTTATATTTAAAACACATTTCAATATATTTATGTGTATTTAATGTATGCTCAATGGTGACGTCATGTTTCTGCACATATTGCGTCACTCTAATTTTCTGTTATTTTACCGGGCGTGATGTGATCTCTGTGTGACGTCACTGCTGTTATATAATGACAGTAACGTGACGTCACAGTTAAAAGCAGTTTGAATAGTTTAAACAGTTAGCATGATGAAAAAACTCCTCAGACTTCACGTTAGCTGACAGCAGCTAGCAACCTGATGCTAAGCTAACATGCTAACAGCTGTCATTCTGCTGCTAGCTGTCTCAAAACGATAATGCTGATAGCGCTGTTTTTCTGCCTCTGGCTGTCCGGTAACTTCCGGTGCAGCGACGCAAACACAGCCAGTTATTTAACGGGAGAAACCGCCGTTATGAAGAAAAGTTAAGGGGCTCCGTTACCTTCAGACCTGTTGATCAGGGCGCAGACATGTTGAGCAACTCTAAGCCCCGCCCACCGCAGCTGTAAATCAACGGGGAGGCGTTCAAGGCGCGAGGACAGGCTGGGAAAAACAAGCTTCCGCGTCTGATCTGTTAAAATAAGATCAGATCAGATCAGAAGTACTTCATTGATCCCAGTGAGGGAAATGTTTGCGTTGCAGCAGCACAAAAATACAAGGCTATGAAGATTAGAGAAATTAACAGACTATAAATAAACAATCCATCATGAGAACCTCTCAATAGAAATGAAATGGCATTAAAAAAAGTAGAAAATATTCAATTTTATACAAAGTTATTGATTATTCACTTTGATAAAACACAACCCAGAAAAAGAGAATGGAGTCACAACATTGCCATGACAATCTAATGTGTACAAGGTTTATAATGTATTCATTTATTTAAACAGGAAGGCAAGCATAGTTTATTAATATATCACATTTCAACACAAGGCAATTCAAAGTGCTTTACAAAAACAAAAGACATTAAGAAATAGTGCAGCAGAAACATTACATGACATGTTACATGTTAGAGGCTGTCATCCAAAGCGACCTACATACTCAATACTGTGGGCAATCCCCACAGGAGCACTTTGGGGTGAAGTATCTCAGGGACACAACGACTGTGTGTGTGTGTGTGTGTGTGTGTGTGTGTGTGTGTGTGTGTGTGTGTGTGTGTGTGTGTGTGTGTGTGTGTGTGTGTGTGTGTGTGTGCGTGTGTGAGAGAGAGAGGTGTGTGTGTGTGTGTGTGTGTGTGTGTGTGTGTGTGTGTGTGTGTGTGTGTGTGTGTGTGTGTGTGTGTGTGTGTGTGTGTGTGCGTGTGTGTGTGTGTTGCAGCTGTGTGTGTGTGTGTGTGTGTGTGTGTGTGTGTGTGTGTGTGTGTGTGTGTGTGTGTGTGTGTGTGTGTGTGTGTGTGTGTGTGTGTGTGTGTGTGTGTGTGTGTGCCAGCAG